CTGTTTAATTCTCTTACTCTCAAAAACTCACTTCCTACAAAACAGAATCTCAGTTCACTATGAAGTCACCCATTCACTTGGCTAAACTGATAATTAGAAGGTTTAAAAAGCAAGAATCTTATCTTTTGAGATTAGATTCTCCAAACAATTTAAACAATTTAAATTCTCAGTTTCTCCAACAATTTAAACAATCAAATTATTACATTTTACAAATGAGAGACATTTTATGAGATGTAGCATTGATATATGATTTTCCCACTAAAAGCTGCACAGGGAACCCCCATTTTTCAGGCTCAGGTGGGCTCAGATATCAGACTCCCATCTCTGGCTACAAACACTCTGAGCCCCAGCCAGGTCATAAATAAAGCAGCCTGAAAGCTTTTGACTGGCTCCACCTGGACTAAGGAGCACACACCCTAATCCTCTACCTAGACAAAAATCGCAGCAAAGACCTAATAACCTTGCCCAAGGTAAGGGGCTGCATTCATCCATTTGCCAGAACACCTATTCAGTGTGTAAAGGTATTTTTCCATCTACCAAGTCCGGGCCAAAATATCTCTCAGGGCCAATTATTTACCCCTAGATGAAGGACTCGTGGAGGAAACCTCCAACCTGGGCCTTCTCCCCCCTTTCAGAGGATATCCACCCAGGAGACCTGTTGCTGATATGGATACAGCCCCCGTTCCCCATGAGATTTACGCTCTCTCCTCCAGATTTTCAAGGGCCATCCAGAGCTTACCACACTGCCTGGACTGCAACACTTTCCCAGGCACAGCTCCTCTGCCAATAGCTCTGGCACTCTTTACTCCTGCTGCATGCCTCTCAGTCTAACAAAATCCCATTTTATCATTGATCTGTGGCCCGTGGGCTCAATTCTCAAATTCCTGAGACCAAAAACTCACTGAAGAAATTCCAGTAACAAAACTACAAAATCCTTTCTAATGTCTTTTCATTTTCCCCCAAGACCCACATGGCCACATGGCCACCACCAAAGATAGAGAGCGGAAAACCTGGAACTTCCAGTTTCCCTCAGAATAGCCAGGGGGCAAAGTTGGAGCAGGGAAGAAGGGTGCACTCACACATTCGTTTCACCCCATGAATGGGGGAGGGGGCAAACCCCACCTATTGTTACCCATTTCAGTCATTCTCCAAGCACTCACACGCAAACAATCCCAATGCATTTCTTAACCTGGACAGCCTCAATTTCCCACTCGAGCTGCCACTTAGCCATAGGAGGCAAACCAACACTCCCCTGGGCCCTGTGACAGGAGGTCCAACTCCACTCTTAGAGTTCTCTCAGTCACACCACATCCACACACTCTCACACACCTCTCAACAGACCTACCGGCAATCTAAAGCCAAGAGGTGATCAGGCTCCTCTTCCACTAAAATTGTAGTGGGCTTCAAAAGGATCCTACCTTACTCTGGATGTCCTGGCACCACCTGTTACCGGTTCCTCTCTGGTGCTCAGCCTCTGCAGTGACCTGCCACAGGGACCTCGCCAGCTCGGTCTCAAGGAGACATTCCTCTGGGAGAATTTGTCCCAGGAGCGCTCTGAGGACCGCGTCGCCAGACCAGCAAGACTTCCCCACAGGGGGTGATCTGCAGGGCGGGCAGAACTCAACCCAAAGAATCTGGCTGCACAGTTTTGCCACCAAACCTCGCTTCCCATTCAGGGAGCCAAGAAATGCAGCAGGAAACCAATGCAGACAGAAGACTCCAGGCACCAGTTGATTAGAGGAAGTGGTTTTATTCCAGCCAGGAGGTAACTCGAAACACCTGTGTGTCTCCAAAACGTGCTCCCTGACTCAATCTCTTGCCTCTCTTTTATCCACTTTTCAGGGTGGGAGTGCACGTGATGGTCATAAAACAGAGAGAGACATGACATCATCCTCAAGGTCCTGGGCTCAAGGGGGAAGGTCAGATTCACCCACGTCCTTAAGACCCATAGGACCACCTGCCCTCAAAGGCAAGGGAAGTCCAGGGAAGTTACTAGGTTACAATCTAGGCCCCGCATATGTCAAGGAAGAAACATACAGACAACAGAAACACCTGCAGCTTGGCTGAGGCCTACACAGGGCGGCTAGGACAGATTCTTTTAGTTCTGCTTTTACTTTCTTGCTTCAACATAGCTTGGCAGGCACCAGGGAGGGCAGGCGGGCAAGGAGCTCTCAGTTGGAGTCCCCTCAGTTGGCTGCAAGACCCCTAGAGAAAAGGTCTGAGCCCCTCTGTGGAAGCCTGGTGCCCTGGATGCACTAGTAGAGGGGAAAGCAGTTCCTGGGAGCCCTGGCTCAATCCATCTATCAGCAGCCATGGCAGCAGAGGGGAAGGGGAGCAAAAGAGTCTGAATGGAGGAAGGCTGACACTCTGGTTGTCTCTGACCCACAGTCCAGAGGACAGCCCACCCAGAATGTCTTGGCTCTGGGATCATGTAGCTCCCACTGGGTCCCCGTGGCTGCCATAGTCTGGGCTCAATTTTGGGAAATGTTTGTTGAGAAACAAGCAAGACAAAAACTGAGGGGCTGAGAGGCTCAGGAGGATAAAGGTGCACAGTGGGTGGAGAAACCACATGGTGCCTTGCTTCCTGGCTGGGGTCTACAGCGTTAGGAAGCACTGGCAGCCTCTGCTGCTTCCTGAAGAAACTCCCAGGTCACCAGTGGCAAGAGCTTTGGGCCTTGTAAAGGTAGAAGAGCTTTCCAGCAGCTTGTGAGCCCACTGAGTGCCAGAGATAGAGGAGAGGGAGAAATAAACCTTTTTACCTACCCTTCTCACTGGACTCCAAAACTCTTGGGGTTTCCTCTGCCAATAGCCTGCACCTTGATGTTCTGCTGTGTAACTTCTTCCCGTCAAATCTCTGGTCGGTTAGTTGTGGCAAGTTCTTTTCCTGCCACTGCAGCCACTGCTCCTGGAGTAGTGTCCAGGAAGCTTCCTCTCCTCCATCCTGAGGCTGAGGAGTTCTCTCAGTGAAAGTTTCAAAAAATAGGTCTTTAGCTCTGTAGGCTGCAAGTCTGAGATCAATGTCCTACAGGGTTGGTTTCTGGTAAGGTCTGTAAGCCCCCTTCTCACTGTGTCTGGGCCTGGGACCTGCACCTGTAGACTGAGTCACTCAGGAGGCTAAGGCAGGAGGATCACTCGAGCGCAGGAATTCAAGATTACAATGAGCTATGATTGTACCACTGCACTCCAGCTCGGGCAACAAAGCAAGACCCTACCTCAAGCACCAGCTCCTTGGTGAAGAGCTCCCTCACTACCCACTAGGTGACTGTGCCACTATCAGATGGAGCAGAAAGAGCACCAGTTTCACACTGCTGTGCCTGTCAGCTGCATGTCAACTTTGCTTCTAACTGAACTCGACAAAATATCAGAGGTGCCTCACACACGGTTGTTTCAGTGAATGAGTGAATGAATGAGTAGAGGTAGAAACTGGTGACAAGTCCTAGAACTGCCAACCATCAGTGTTTTGTGGACCATGTAAAGCCTGTGCAGGGAGAAGCCTCAGTGTGAGGGACCTTGTTGCTGAGCCAGAGGACTTGGCCTCTGGTCTGTGATGACTGAACACAGGGTGAATGGTGCTAGCATTCCTGGTCCCCATGTGCAGGGGACCAGGATGGATCTTGGAGAGCACCATGTATGCCAGGTAGGAGATGCTCCAGGCCCGGATTGCTAAAGCAACAGGGGGCAAAGGCCTTCCAGGAGGGTGAGCACCTCAGCTGTTCCCTGGGTCTCCCATTCCTGGCTCATTTCTCCATGACCACAAAAGGGACATGAACACGGGGCTCCCTGCAGAGTCAAGCAGCTCTTTGACCCTGTGGTTTATGATTATCAAGTATCCAGGAGGCAGCCAATGAGGGGACTGAACACCCAGGCTTGTCCCAGAGGTGACAACATTGCTTGCATAAGACCTCTCCTGGATGCCAGCATAGGCTGAGGGCTGAGGCTGCGCTGGACACTCAGGGCTCTTGTGTGGCAGGTGAGGGGGTGTAGGTGGAAAATCACTGCTCTGAGTTGGACCTGCCTCAGGATCTGGAGGCTGGGCCATGCTTGGTGCTTGCCTCATTTGCTATCTCACCAACATAAAAGTTTGCAAGCAAGGGGGGAAAGAGCCTTTTCCAAATCGTGTGCCTGCGGACACAGGATTTCTGCAATGTACGGTCCCCAGAGAAGGTCTGGAGAATGGGAAATGTGTGGTCTGCCTGCCACAGTCAATGCACCAATAGCTGAGAGAGCCAGAAGGAGGGAGAGGGGTATAGGTGAAGGTACTTTGTATATCACTGCATCATACGAGTCACTAAATTCTCAAATACACCACAGAGGGCAGGTTTTATTTAACCTTGTTGTACAGATGAGGAAAAAAAGGCTGAGAGAGGTGAAGTGACTTGCCCGAGGTCACACAGCTAGAAGGCAACAGAGCAAGGATGGCAATGCTGGTCTTTCGGATCCTACTTTCTCCCAGTGGAGGGGCCCTGCTTCCACCTGAGTAAAAGCAGAAAGACCCCCTTGAGCAGGGTCTTCTGTTCCTGTGGGGCTGCGAGCCATGGGGCACTCACAGGGCTTTCTCTCTCTTCTCCAGGGCTTCTGGGAAGGTGAGCAGAGACGCCTCACTCTCCGGTAGACCTTGAGATTTCAGACACAGACGTCTCCCCATGGCTCCTTATTTCATCCGCATATACCAGGAGAGTGACCGCAAGGCGGTGGTGGACTTGCTTTTCCAGGGCTTGACTGAGCACATCCCTGCCACTTTCCGCCACCTGCT